AAGAAATAAAGAATGAAATTAAAAAGTTCCTTGAAACAAATGAAAATACAACATACACAAACCATTGGGATACAGCTAAGGAAGTTGTCATTGGGCAGTTCATAGCAATAGACACACACATAAAAAAATAAGAAAGAAAAATCAGTACTCTAACTAACACCTTCATCAAATAGAAAAAGAACAATCTAATCCTAGTCACTAGAAGAAAACAAATTATAAGGACAGGAGCTGAAATCAACAAGATAGAAAACAAAAAACAACTGAAACCATCAATAAGACCATGAGCTGGATTTTTGAAAGGGTCAATAAAATTGACAAATCACTGGCAAACTTAACAAAAGGGAGGGGAGAAACACAAATAACTCAATTAAGAAATGATAGAAGTGACATCACAAGAGAACCAGATGATATTAAATCAATAATATCAAAATACAATGAAAAGATTGATACATTAAAAAATCTAGAGGAAATGGACAAATTCCTTGAAACTCATGCCCTACCCAGAGTGACAAAGACAGATATAGAACACTTGAACAGACCAATCACAAAAGAAAAAATCGAAGAGGTCATAAAAAGGACTTCCCCATAAGAAAAATTGAAAAAGAAGGAATACTCTCAGAGTCATTCTATAAAGCAAGCATTACCCTAGTACCAAAACCAGGCAAAGATATTAGCAAGAAAGAAAACTTCAGACCAATATCTCTCATGAATATAGATGCAAAAATCCTTAAAAAAAATACAAGCAAGTAGAATTCAAAATCACATAAAAAAAAAATCATTATGACCAAGTGGGATTCATAACAGATACGCAAGGATGGTTCAACATAAGAAAAACTATCAACATAATTCAGCATATTAAGCAAATAACAAGAATCATATAATCCTGGCAATTGATGCAGAAAAGGCCTTTGAAAAAATCTAACACCCCCTCATGGTAAAGACTCTCAGCAAAACTGGAACAGAAGGCAATTTCCTCAAAGTATAATGTAAAACCAAGCACCAATTAAAATTACTAAAAACATTTTCCTTGAAAAGGGAGACCAGACAAGAATACAAAGTGCCACCACTTCTATTCAATATTGTACTGGAAGTGTTTGCTAGGGGCAATATGACAAGGAAACAAAAGGCATCCAAATCAGCAAAGAGATGGTTAAATTATCACTATATTCAGATGACATGATAGTGTACACAGAAAACCCCAAGGACTTAAAAAAAAAAACCAAATCTGTTACAGCTGTCTACTAGACAAATTTAACAGAGTGGCAGGATATAGGATTAATATCCAAAAATTAGAGGGATTCCTCTATAGTAACAAAGAGAACTCAGAGAAGGAAACCAAAAAAGCAATATCATTTACAAGAGCCAATCAAATTGAGATTCTTGGGAGTGAACCTAACTAGAGGTCTAAAGGACCTATACAAAGGAAACTACAGAACATTTCTCCAAGACACAAGAAAAGACCTATAGAAATGGAAAAATGTTCCCTGTTTATGGATAAGACTCAATATTATGAAAATGACAATCCAGCCAAAAGAAATCTACATGTTCAATGCAATCCCAATCCAGACATCAAATTCATTTTTCCAGGAGATCAAAAGGGAAATGATCAAGATTACTTGGAGAGGAAAGAGACCCTGAATAAGCAAAACCCTTCTGAAAAACAAAAATGAAGGGGGAAGCATAGCACTTCCTGATCTCAAAACCTCCTACACAGTGGTAGTAACCAAAACAGTATGGTACTGGTACAATGACAGACACATAGACCAATGGAACAGAATTGAGAACCCAGAATTAGACCCAGCTATCTATGACCAACTGATATTCAACAGGAAATCAAAACTATTAAATGGGTAAATGACAACCCCTTCAACAAATGGTGCAGGCAAAACTGGACTGCTACTTGCAGAAAGCTGAAACAGGATCCACATCTTACTCCATACACAAAAATCAACTTTAAGTGGATCAGGGACCTGGGAGTAAAGCCCAAAACTATTAAGCTCATCAGAGACAAACTGGGATCAAGCTTAGACAGCCTAGTCCAAGATACAAAGAGACTCCCAAATACAGCCAGAAATGCACAATCTGGAGAGCATAAAATTGATGAATGGGACCTTCTAAAGATTAAATCCTGGTGCACATCAAAACTTTTTCCAACAGAGTGAAAAGAAAAGCTCCTGACTAGGAAAAAATATTTGGCAATATCATTTTAGACAAGCGTCTCATATCAAAAGTTTACACAATCCTACAGGGCCTCCACAAGGCAAAGATTGATCACACAATCACAAAATGGGCAAAAGACATGGAAAGAATTTTCACAGAGGAAGACAGTCAGATGACCAACAAACATATGGAGAAATAACTCAAAATCACTGGCAGTAAGAGAGATGCAAATTAAAACCACAAGGAGATAACCATCTCCTTCCATTAGCAGTGGCAAAGTTTAACAGTACAGTAAGTAATAAACGATTGAGAGGATGTGGTGAGATGGGAACTCTTATACATTGTTGGTGGCATTGTAAAATGGTACAACCACTCTGGAGGCAGTCTGGCATTTCTTCTAAAACATAATAGAGATTCACTCTGCTATTGCACTGCTTGGAATATACCCTGAAAGAATGAGAACTGAGGCACAAACCGAGACTTGTACACCAATATTCACAGCAGCATTATTCACCACCGCAAGAACATGGAAACAGGCTAAATGTCCAACCACAATGGAAAAGATTGAGAAATTATGGTACATTCACTACGTAGCATGCAGAAGCAATGATTTTGGAAATAAGTACCTAACTTGGGAGGGACTTAAGAATATTATGCTAAGTGAACTAAATTAGTCTTATAAAGACAAATACCATATAAGAACATTATTGTAGAATGAGCATAAGGATCAAAGGAGGGGGAGGTGTTAGCAGAGGGGTGAGGATGGGAGGGAGAAGGATGTGGGGAAATGGGGCATTAAGCACAGGGTCACACAATTTGATTGGTGGAGTTGAGGGTAAAGGAAAGGGGAAGATCTAGTCTGAAAAACAAAGTATACAAACTTTGTAAATAAACAATTATAAAATACAATTTTTTTAAAGTCTTGCAAAACCCTTTATTCTAATTTATTCCTTGTTGTCATTGTGTGCTATCAAGTTACCACTAAGGAGAAAAATAAATATTTATATATATTTATTGAGAGTCAACCCAAAGAGAGAAAAATTACAGAAAACAGCCATATAATTATAAAATATTGACAAAATGTATGCTAACAGTTTTTAGTGCAAAATATACTTTCAATCTCTTGGGAAAAGTTTTTTTAAAAATATTTATTGCACACCACCACGTACCAGGCACCATTGTGCTATGCTTTTTAAACGTGGTGTAAGATGGTTTCTAATAATCAAGAAAGAGTGAAAAGTACATTAATTTAAAACATAGTTTTATATATTTGTATTAATGTCCTAAGTATAGGCATATAACTAATAGTCCTTAGTTGTTATTAAGTATAGTTTGAGGATCATGGGGTAGGTAAAAAGAAGTTTAAATTTCAGGCTCAAGAGTCTTGAAATGACAAGTGTGTATGAATCAGGTTGTGTGCATATATAGACCACATTGGCACAGAGGAGAGCAGGGAGAATTTTAAGTCTTCTAGTGTGGTTCTATGTAAAAAAATAAATAAATACAAACTTACACTGTCATTCAATCCATTCTAATTCATGACAACTCCATTTGTTACAAAGTAGAACTGCTTTGTATGGTTTCCTTGGCTATAACCTTTATAGAAGAAGCAAAGGCAAAGTCATTAGGTCTTTCCTCAATGAAGCCTTCAAAACCTAAATCCTACTGCCATCTAATCAATTCTTATTCATAACAAACTTCCATCGGGTTTCTGAAGCTATAAATCTTAATGTGAAGAGATGAAACATCCTTCCACAGAACAGCAGGTAGACTCAAACTTATGTAAATTTGCAATCAGGAAATTAGGAAGTTAAATTTAGGATAGAAAATCATTTTTGTGGCATTAATTTAAAGCATTTCTATAACACCAATAAACCGTTGAAGCCTCTTATTCCCCCCAACCCACCCTGTTAAATAAAGAGCATTTACTGAACGGTCTGCATATTAGATAAAGAATATTAACAATTGTGTGGAGACTGGATTGAGGAGAAAATGTGAAAGAATAATGAGAAGAGCAGTAAAGGGCAGGAAATAAGAAGCCATACTCACAAGATAGTGAATAGGAATTCCTATTGGTACAGTCTTGCTTCTTTTCTCCATTACTTCTATAGAAGCTCACTACATTTATGGTTTCAATTCCCAACTATAAATAAATAATCCCTTCTGGCTTTTATATAAAATGTCCAGGCTACCACTTTCCTATCACTAAAGGAAAACAAATAAATGTTTCCTCAAACTCTCCACATAAGTTTCTATCTCAAAAGTGCCTCAGATACCTTTTTGCTGGGTGCTGTCAATTCTGACTTACAGCAATTCTGTAGGGTAACCACCTGCATATATTTATACTCATAATTACTCCCATTAAACATACTATCTTAATGAAATTATCTCTCATTCATCCCGGCACACGGATCCTAGTAGCATTATTGGTATTACTAATATTATCATACCCATTTCCTCAGCTAAGACTGTTAGTTGTGACTTCCTAACTATCTCTTAAATCTCTATTCTTTTCATGTGCACTGTTAATACTTCTTTCCAAACTACCACACTCTTGAATTACTGAAAAAGTTTTGTAATTATTCCAAATAGAAGACAAAGGTGTCTTCTATTATGTGAAAAACATACTGAATGGAAAGTTCTTAGTCCTCAAATCTGTGAAGGAAACAAAAGTTTTTAGCTTCCAAAATTCTTGTAGATATGATGTCAGTTATTTAAATATGTAACAGGATCTGTATCTGCTTTACACATATTCTCCAATAAAAATTATCTTGTTTAGTTAAAGTGGCCTGAGAATAGCTAAACAAAAGGTGAATATGGTAAGTCATGTTTCCATCCTGCTACATCTTCTGCTCTGTCCTCCCAGTCAGTCTTTTCCATATTAGTCTGGGGTCATCTGAAAGCCTGGGAAGGTCCTTGTGAGCTTCTCCAATATAGGTGAGAAAATCTTTGGTGTGAAGATGCTCATCTATTTTCTGTTGCAGTAGGAATGACTGTAGTAAAGTCTTCTTTTGCTTTAGGAAAGCAGATTGGGCCAGTTCTGCTCTTTTTCTGTTACAACTATGACACTGAGAAGAAATGTGTTGCTCAGCTGTTGACATCCATTCTAGTGTTGCCTTCACGTTTTTAAAATATATTCTATTTAAAAGTTCATCTGGAACGGTGCATTGGTGTGCATCTAGCTCTGGATCCTCTGCATCCAGTTTAAGCTGTATCTTTTTACCTCTGCTGCTCTTGGCCTCTTTATAGTTCAACCTACGATGGATCAGGTTTATCTTTATAGTACAAAAAGACTGCAAAGCATGCAATTCTTTCTCTGTTATGTGAGTGATTTCTTTTTGATGTTTATCTGGTTGGTAGTTTCTATGATTGCTTTCGTTACCTCTTAGGTGACTGATCCATTTTCTGGTTAATTTTTTTTCATTATTTTCAGAATCTGAAAGCTCAGATGGTTTATCCTGATATTCTGAGCTTACCGTCAGCTTTCCACTCTCAGATTTGCTCCCAGAGTCTTGGGACCAAGACTGACGGCTTCCAGAGGAACTGAAGGAATCTGAGCTCTCCGTCTCATCAGTAAAAGACCTGACAGTCTCACCAGAAAAGTTGGCCATAGCACCGGTGTCCTTTGGGGCTGCTTCTACTCACTCTTCTTTTGAATCCCCCGACATTCTAGGTAGATGATTATCATTATGCACCACATTCCAGTCTTCGTCTGTTTGGCCGTGGTGAAGGCTGACTCTGGTACTTCTCTAGGAAGAATGAGCCCACCGAGGACTGGTCTTGTTTCCGAGAGTTGAGGTGCATTCATTAGAAAAGCACCAGAGATCCTAAGTGGTTTGACTCCGGGTGGCCATGCGCAGTTGCGTTACTGACGCGCGTCACTGCTTTGCGACAGTGCTTTGCGACGGTGCCGCGCGAGCGTCCCTCCCCACCTCTCCCTGCTCGTCCTCACCCCCGCGCCCCTACCCCGCCTTTCTCCCCAGCGGGGCGGGGCGTTGCCCTGCAACTCTTGCTGGTAAACCAACAGTCGCATTGTCTTCAGACAGCCGCTTTCCTCCGTCCTGCTGTTTTAAATAGGAAATCTAACTTGTACCAAGGAGCCTCACAGAGGGTGCATTTACTCGGCCAGTCCGGAGGGACACCTGCATGAGCTTAATAGAAAGAGATGGTGGCTGTGACAGGTCAAAGTAGCCAGCCTCAGTGCTCACAAATGAAAGCAAATAAAAGCCATCCTCCCAAAATGCACAAGACGATTCGGGATGCAATGGTGTTTTAGGATGAAAATGGAAATACTAATATTAGCCTGTAAGATTCCTACATCACACGGTTACTACCTATCACAGGCAAAGTGTAAAGGAATTCTAATCTTTTGCATTACTTAATTCCCAAACCTCCTTTATTATCCTGCAACAAGCTCTTATAAAAATCATGGTTTACACATTTTTCCCATTTTCTGCTAGCTTATTTACAAAATTCGAATACAAATTCGAAAAATCTCTTTCAATTTCCCGCACACCTCCCCCCATCAAACTGTACAACCTTATAATAATCCCCCTCCCCCTGCACGTCCACATCCCTCTGCTTCTAGCCTCTTCCACCCTTCTTGGATCCTTATATTCATTCTACGATAATGGTTTTATACAATATTTATCCTTATGGGACTGAGTTCACTCAGCATAATGTTCTCCAGTCCCTCCTAAGTTAGGTAATAATTTACAAAATCATTGCTCCTGAGTGCTGCATAATAATAAAAGCTCTAAACACATATTCGTTCTCCAAAACATTGACAAATGGAGTTTCTTGATGGGCAATCTCCTCCCTCGGAATTAACAGCCTCTGAAAACCCACTGGAGAATCAGCTATGGGTCGGTTCCAACTCTATGGTACACAACAACAAAATATATTTTAATATGTACCTGGGGCACAATGACTTATTCATGCAAATACGTTTTTTAAGAGACATAAACGCAGGTTATACACATGGATTTCACCTGATGGTATGCATAGGAATCAGATCAATTACATCTGTGGAAAAAACAGTTGGAGAAGCTCAATATTAGCTGTGAAAACTAGGCCAGGGGCTGATTGTGGAACAAACCACCAACTACTCATATGCAAGTTCAAGCTGAAGCTGAAGAAAATGAAAATGAACCGCCAGGAACCAAAATGTGACTTTGAATTCATCCCACCTGAATTTCAGAATCATCTGAAGAACAGCTTTGAGGCCTTGAACACTAATGCGCGAAAACCAGATGAGTTGTGGGAGGATGTCAAATGTATCATCCAGGAAGAGTGCAAACGGTCATTACAAACACAGAAGAGGAAGAAAAGACCAAAATGGATGTCAGAAGAAACTTTGAAGATTGCACTGGAGCGTAGAGAAGCCAAAGCACA